GCGCCACCTTCGAAGTTGTGTTCACGAACATTCTTGATTTTTTCAGCGAGTGAGGTGTTCGTCTCAGCATCATAGTTTGTTGTTAAATCGGCCGTCACAGTTTTGCCAGTATTTTCGTAGTTTGAACCCACACATATGGTTCATTTGTTATCTCGTGAGAACTAGTAAGAACTTTCCACTGTTGGTTAGCTTTCAAGCAATGAAGTTCGTGGACCGGCCTATTCCGAAAACACTGGACGTCATTTAGCGTGGGCCTACCACGAACAGCCCGTGCGTTTACATGTGGGATGAGCTTATAAGACAGGAATCTTTGCAAAGCGGTCTTCACAAAACACAGCAATCTGCGAATTACCGTTGTTTACTAAGAGCGAGCCCACGAGAACACAAGTTGTTTCACTCTCATCCCAGTTTCCGTGGTTTACGCGAGGAACACACGGGACCATGAGCCCCCTTTTGGCGACCAAAACGGCTTGGATTTTCAGACTTGGGCTTTCCGACGGAAGCCCGAGTAATAAAAAATGATTTACAAACAAACCTCTTCATAAGGGTCGTGTGCGGCTGAGCAGGCAGAGGCATTAAAAGCTGCACGGCCAAGGATACGGGCCCGCGAGAAGAAAGAAGAACTAAATCAACATCTGTAGCAGGCATTTGGACTCTAGATTTCTAGATTTCCATTGAGGAAATAATACGTTGGAATTAATCTTAATGGCCATGGTTTACAACTTCGTGTGTAAAATTTGCTGAAATTTTGAGACTTTTTGCCAAAGAAAAACAAAATGGGCTTGACTTAACATTGTTGGTATGGTACAAAATTTATCGTTTATACTGTCTGGTTTCCTTTGACTTTCAATGATTCAAGAATAATTCCAAACACTGAGACTCAGAATTCTTTTCTTTTCCAAATTGTAAAGGTAGTTTTTCGGTTTGTCAGTTTTGAGACCAAAAAAAGCAAAGGCGGTTTTATTCGCATCAATGTTTTGTAGTAAAATATTAATGATTCTTTCCTTAATCTTCCAGTACTCCAATCGCTTAGTATCGTGAAAGAATTACGAGAAGGAATGGATGTATACGAATTGAAAACATTCCTTACTTTTCACATCAGAGAAGGTGCATGGCAGTTGGTGCTGCTGTTTACGGATGAACTCCCTTCAGATAAACTACCAGAGGAGTGGTTTGATGAAATGTTGGATGTATACTTGGAGTTGTCCGCACACGAGGACGAGGACGAGGACGAGGAGGTTTTTAGTTCATCGTTATACAGTTCGAAGTCAGGCATATTGAAAGCATGGCCTATAGAGCACGACCCTGATTGGGTAACATTGTGTAAAGCAATCACCAACGAAGACTGGAAAGTAACCAGATTCATCCCTTTGGGAGTCGGATATCTGATGAAGGTTTGAAGAACTTAAGTACAGCTCTTATCCAGAGTGAACTTTACAGCCTGACCCTGTTTTACAATGGTCTACAAAGAGGATTAAAACACCTGTGTGAGGCGCTGATCAGTAGGGACTGCGATTTAATCAGGTTAAGCCTCATTCGCAATAGGTTAGGAGACAAAGAAATGATGCACNTGTGATTTCCATCGTGAGCAATGTTGAGAAAGATGGCTCCGTAAAGCAGATAATGGCTTAAACCATCAAAGGGAGGTTCTTTCCTTGCTTCGCAATGTGGCGAGGTCTCCAACAGAAGACGTCCATCACACAAATCTCAAGTCCTTAAAGTCTAGTGAGTTGTGGATGTCAAATCCTCAACTGGTTTGAGAAAACATGGTTGCCAGAAGCCAAGGTACAGTTAAAACTATAGAAAAAAAGTAAAATAATTATAACAAAGGAAAACTGACAATGTAATCAACACTTATTATTTATTACTTCTGGTGGTTCAAAAAGGGTTATTAAAAATGATGTAAAAAAACCTTATTTTCTTTTAGAATCTGTTTTTATTGCAAACTACACAATTGCGGTTCTTGGTTGTTATATGCATACACTCAGAAATACTTTATTCAGCCCCAATGGGCTTTTAATTACAAAAAAGATTGAGAACTGATGTTTTAAGAAAGTAAACTGATGGGGAAACATGTGTGACATTTTAACAAATTACCTTTTTTAAGGAATGGGTAAAAATTAGTACACTTAGCTTCTTTCTTATGAGATGTCAGAATTTAGGTGTTGTCGAAGCACACATAAAATTGTCAGAAAATGAAGGTAAAGGCAATTTTTAGGTTTAGTTTCATATGATGAGACTTCTGATCAATTCTAATATTAATTCTGTTTCTGTGATTCCATGCCTTTCGTGTACATTGTTGACACTGTACCTGAAACAAGATCTTCTATGGCGTTTTAATATGAATTATATTCTTAGTTGATTGTTAGTTGGAAAAATACTTAACAATCTAATTTCTCTCCAAAAACATAAACTTTTCATTGCCTTTTAAGCCAATGCAACATGGCAATTCAAAACTAAATTTTGGATAGCTGTGTTCAGTTCATTTTAAAATTTGAATCAGTCTCGGGTACCTTAATTTGTTGTTAAATACCAATGTCCACTATAGTTCCTTGCTATATTTTTCCAATCCCAAAATTCACCTTTACTCTTTACAAGGACGTCAGAGGCTACCAATTGATTGGTTAGAGTGCTTCATGATATTTTTCGCAGCCCTTGAAATTGCGATTTCTTAGAATGTCATTTTGAAGCAGTATGGGGCCGCGTTCCATATTTCAAACGACGTTTAAACGACTGTATTTCTCTCACTTAAAAACGTGAGTCACCGAATTCCGTAGAGAGGAAAAATGTAGAAAATAAATCACTTACCGTCACTTCTCCGACGCAATACTAGTAATAGCTACTAGTTGTAAAGCGATCTCTGATTTCCCACAACCGTCGCCATTTTTACTTTACTTTTTCCGAAGTTCGAACGGAGTCGCATCGGAATATGGCGCGTTTTTAGTGTCAAAATTCAAAACCTCGTGTCAGACTTGCTATTTTTCTATTCAAACTTCTTGTTTGACAATTCGGATACGCTATTGGTTTACTGAAACATCCATTGTTTCAATTCAAAGCAATATTTCTTCGATTCAGTCATTCTGTTTTTCTATTCAAACCTGCAATCCTTTGTTTTAAAAATGTTTTTCTACTACCCAAACATTCAGTCCTCTAATTCAAACATGCTATTGAGCATTTCAAATTTTCAATCTTGCAATTCAAAATAGTCAGTTTCGCAAGTAAAAATGCTATCCTTCTATTCCAAGATGCAATTCTTTACCGCAAACCTGCTACTCGTCAATTCAAATACACTATTCGCCAGTTCAAACAGGCTTTTTGTCGACAGAAACACGCAATCCTTCATTTTGAAACAATCGTTCCGCAATTCAAACACTCTACTCTTCAATTCAAACCGGCAATTCTTCCATTCCAACGCTTAATCTTTTAGGTCAGATCTGCTGTTCGACTATGGAGACATCCAGTTGTTTAATTTGGTAACCCTATTCATCACTTCAAATATTCGAACTCCTTTTCCAAACATTCAATTATTCAATGCGAACATGATACTCGTCATTTCCAATACGCAATCCTTCAATTCAAACATTCAAACCTTCAACACAAACGCGNTAGTGGTGTTGCCGATATAAGATCACCACAGTGCGGCCAAATGGGCAACGAAGTTTAGAATAACGAGATTTCGGGGGAAAACAGAACGTTTGCGCAAATATCTCTTTTGTTCTAGCTTTTGTCAATGGAAATGAAATATCCTGTTTGGGAGGATTATATAGTGACGAACCTGGGCTGACGGTGATAGACACATGCCTTACGAATCAGTCAACTGGGTATAGAACTCAAGATGAGTCATCAGCTACTTCTTCTGATCCTCGGTACTTCAGTGGCTTGGGCAGAAATGCAAATGAACTTTCCAGGACCCCAGGTAAGCTCAGCTCTTTTATTGTTTCCCTTTATTATTACTTCAGTAATCCGGGGGGGGATGCAGAACATTCACAAGCTGAAAATTCAAATAGTGAGACTTAAAACAAAGACGTCATTTTTAACTTCCTTTACTTTTCTAAGATCCAAACGTTTACAAGTCTTTTTGACAAAAGGCGTCCTCTTGTCTCAAGAAAATACCACGAATGAAAATTTAACGAATTGAAGCTTTCCAATAAACTTTCTCACAGGATCCATGCCATGCAGATTATGATAAATGCGTCAGGAAGGCAGCAAAAAAGCCATGTGGAAAGGTTTCCTGTGAGATCAGCGCTATGAAGTGCGCCAGGAAAAAGTTGTCTGCACCACCATCTAAAGTGAGTAATGAGTAGGGCATAAGATAGAAGACACCACATTTCCTCGAATAAGCGCGCATGCTCTAATAAGCGCCCTCCCTCGCATAAGCACCCTCGCAAGGTTTTTTTTTATTTAAGGGTTGTCGCGTTATTTGCTCCCCATCAGTTGTCGATCAAACAGTGTGCTCTAGACTCAGTGTGGCAGACAAAACGTCCATGTTGTTGGACGGATGATTTGTTTCAGCTGATTATTTTATTAAGAGCAGAGTTATAATGCAGTTATAATGGTATTATAATGGTATTACAGCAACTCAGCCACAGGAAGAGGCTAATTTGCATAATATTCATTTTCATTCTGTCTTTTGCAAAGAAAGTTCTCGTGCTCCTTCTATTTTGTTGCATGACATTCAGAATGACCAATGTCCTAATCAATATACAGACTCTGTGTCATGTACCACAAATGAAGTTCAATATTGCAAAAAATTCATGGCAGTAAGTCCTCTGGGGTAGACAAAATCCCAGCCCGCCTGTTGAAGGAGACGGAATTTATGTCTGCAGTACCATTCAGTGTATGCTCTATAATTTGTCTTTTGAGATGAGTGAAGTTCCTAAATTATGGAAACATGCAAATATTACTCCCATTCACAAGGACGGAGACCGAGAGCCGGTAGAGCATTACAGAGGTATCTCACTATTATCCATCACAGGAAAG